CGCCATGCATCGATAATGGTTGCCTCACTCGAAGCCGCCTACAGGCGTGCTGCGGCGGAAGCTCTGACATTCCCGACTCTCTGATGGCCTTCGGTCCATCCCGCCACCATGCCTGGGGGTGTGGGTCTGGATCAGATGCATCTTGAATGCACATGAGGGTATATTGTGATGCCTCCTGGGGAACCCTTGGACTGGTCTTGGGGGCCTTTCGGGGCGCCTGGGGCGCTATTGAGACGGTAAAACTGAAACAGCCTCTTGGGGACTCCCATTGGGGCCTCTTGGGGGCCTTTTGTGGCCGTCTTCAAGCCACCTTCAGGCTCTGGGGGCGATCTTGAGGCGACTCAAGGCCCTTTTGCACCGACTTTGCGGCCTCCTCGGTCACTCCAGGCCCGTCTTGTGACCCTCCTGGCATCCAGAAGACGCACGCGACACACCCCCGAGAGCTCCCGGAAATTCTCGACGCTTCGTTCTGAGCGGCAGCGAGGCTAGCCTCCTGTTTGTTCCTCCCTCCGCTGTCCTTTCATTCCCTCCCCTCCTTCCTCCTGTTGCGCAATTCGTGCGTAGCCCGCTCGCTACGACTCTTGGACGGCGTCCGGGGTCTCCCGGTGCGCTTGCGATCAAACCAAAAACAAACACCAGCCCATCCAGAAACGATGCCCAGAGGAATTGTCTCGATCAGGGAATGGGCAGCACACAGAGGAAGGGTCCCTGGAGGCCTCTTGGCGGTCCTGGACGCCTCTTAGGGCGTCTTGGGTGCCTCGGAGTGGGGCCTCTTGGGGGTCTCTTGGGAGCCTCTTGGAGGCCTCTTGGGCGCCTGTTGGGGCCTCCTGGGACCTCCTGGGCGCCTCTTGGGGCCCTCTTGAAGCGCTCTTGGGGGCGTGGGGAACGCTCTTGGAGCCCTCTTGGGCCATCTTGGAGCCATCTTGAGGCCTCGGCGAGAAAGCCAAAAACATGGATTCCCCCAAGGTTTTGGAAGGATTTTAGCCTCTACGGGGCCTCCTGGGGAATCTCTTTGGCCACTTGGAGCCGTCTTGGAGCGGTCTTGGGGCTTCTTGGAGCATCGTGGGAGCCATCTTGAGGCATCTTGGGATATCTTGAGCCATCTTGGAGGTCACCTTGGGCTCTCCCAGGCGCTCTTGGAGTCATCTGAAGCAGTGCCCCCCCCCCCCCCCCCAGGAGGTCAAAATGCTGCCAACACCTCAGTAAATCCAATGAGTTTGGCATTGTCGCCGAGGCCTCTTGGAGCGTCTTGGTTGCCTCTGGGGGGCCTCTGGGGCCTCTCGGGGGTCTCTTGGGAGCCTCTTGGGGGCATCCTGGGGGCCTCTTGGGGGCCTCTTGGGGCCTCCTGGCCACCTCTTGGGGCCCTCTTGGGTCACCCTTGGGAGCCGTGGGAGCGCTCGTGGGGCCATCTCGGAGGAGATCGATCAAAGAAGGGGGGGTCCTTAATTAGCGTCGCCCCCCCAAGAGGCCAAAATGGGGCCAAAATGTTGTTGATTTCCCCGCCGAGGCCGTTTTGGACGCTCCGACACTTCGCGGCCCCCTCCGTCCAAGTCCAGGGGAGGGGGTATGGGGGAGGGGTCAAGACTCCCTCCCTGCCCGCAAGCCGTCTCGCTCACTCCCACCCGCCCTCCCAACACTTTTTTTTTTACTAGCTCGAGAGGTCGCCCCGCGGCAAAGGAGGAAGAGGAGAGCAGAAGGGGGAGGGGGGAGAGGAAGGGAGGAAGCAGCAGCAGAAGCAGCAGCAAACGCAGAAGGAGGCGCGCCCGCCCGCGCACGGACCGGCGGGCCCCCGCCTCAGCCGGGCTGCGGCTTTGCGCAGCCCGGCGCCGCGCCCCCGCGGCTAGGCCGCGGCGCCCAGGAGCTCGGCGAGCTCGAGGAGCTGCGGCGCGGCCAGGCGCGCCACCTGCCGCGACACCCGGCCGCGGGCCGCAGGCAGACGCCGGCCCTCGGGCAGGCCGAGGTGGCGTGCGGCGGCCCGGACCGGCGTCCAGCCGCGCTGGAGGAGGTCGCACACCTCCTCGCGCAGCGCCTCCGCGGCCTCCGCGGCGGCCGCGTCCGCGGCCGCGGCCCAAGCCTCCGCCTGAGCGGCCGCCACAGCGCGGGCCGCCGCCTCCGCGCGCGCCGCCGCCGCGGCGCCTGTGGCGGCTCCGGCGATCGCGTCGCCAGCCCGCGTGTCCCCCGCGGGCAGGGTCGTCGCCGGCGGGGCGTAGAGCCCGGCGGCCTCCTCCGCCGCCAGGTCAGCCCAGAGCCGCCGCTTCGCCGGCTCCGCTCCCGGCGCGGCCGCCCCCGAGGCCAGCGGGGCCGCCGGTGGGGCCCCAGCTCCAGGCGCTGCCGCCGCGGGCGGAGCGGCCGTTGGAGCCCCCGCTCCCGGCGCTGCCGCCGCAGGCGGAGCTGCCGTCGGAGCACCCGCTCCCGGCGCTGCCGCCGCCGCAGGCGGAGCCGCCGTCGGAGCTTCCGCGGCGGAGGCCGCCTGGCCCCGCGCCCGCGGCGGGGTGGCGACGGCGGCAGCCGCGGCGCGCCCCTGCTCAGCCGGGGCCGGGGAGCCTGAAGCGCCAGCCTCGCCCGGCTGGCCTGCGAGCTGCGCCCAGTCGAGCCCGTCGTACTCGCGCTCGATGGGGTGCTCGCCCGCGTCTAGCGGGAGCGCCGGCGGCCCTCCCGTCGGAGAAGGCCGGCAGCCACCGCCTCGGCTAGGACGCCAGCCGCGACCCCCTCGGCCGCGAAGCCCCAGCCGCTCGCCCTGAGCGCCGCCGCCACCGCCTCCGCGGGGGGCGCTGCCTGCGGGTCCCTCGGGCCCTTCGCCCGCGGCGCGCTGCCCGCGCCGCCGGCCGCCGCGGCGGCCGCGCCGCCGCCGGACCCTGCTCCTGGCTCTGCCGCTGCCTGCGGAGCTGCCGGTGGAGCCCCAGCTCCCGGCGCTGCCGCCGCAGTCGGAGCCGCCGTCGGGGCCCCTGCTCCTGGCGCTGCCGCCGTGGGCGGAGCTGCCGTCGGAGCCCCTGCTCCCAGCGCTGCCGCCGTGGGCGGAGCCGTCGCGGGAGTCCGCGCCGCCGCCCCCGGGGAGCCGCTCCCGGAGCCGCTCGTGGCGTCGCTGTAGCTGCTGCCGCGGCTGGCCGGGGCAGCCACCGCCGCCGCCGCCGCGCCCGGCCCTGCGAGAAGCGTCCCGTCCGCGGGGAGCTCCTGCTCGCGGCTCCGGCCGGCCGCCCGTGCGGGGGAGCTGCTGGAGCCGCCGCCGCGGGGTCGCCGGCCCGGGGGGCTCGCTCGCCGCTCGGCGCCCGCCGCGGGGCAGCTCGTGGCCGCTGCCTCCGCCCTGCCCGGGGGGGCTGGGGAGCGGCCGCGCGTGCGGCTGCTCCGGCGGGTGCGGCGCCGGCGGGTGGCCTGCTCGCTCGGGCTGCGCTCCCGGTGCGGGCGCCTGCGCCGGCGCCGCGGCTCCCGGGCGCTGGGGCTGCTGCTCGAGCGTGCCCTGCGCCGGCGCAAGCGGCGCCCAGTAGCCTGCGTCGCCGGCCCCTGCCCAGCCCGCGGGCTGCGGGCGCGCGCGGGCGCCGCGGCGCGGCCGGGCCCAGGGGGCGCCGTCGTCGGCGCCTCCCTCCCGCGCAGGAGCGCCGCCTCCCGCCGGGGGGGGGTCACCGGGGCCGGCCGCAGCGTCGCCCTCGGCGCCGTCGCCGGCGCCCCCGCGGCAGCCGGCCTCGAGCCCGGCCGGGCCTTCGCAGGAGGGGGCGGCGAGGGTGCCCTCTGCGGGGCCCGCACCCGCACCCACGGGGTCCGCATCGGCGCTGCCGAGGGGGCCCTCGGAGCTGCCGCCTGCGGCCCAGGTGCCGGGTGCCACGGGCACTCCCCCACACGCTCCCGGCGCGACTGGGGTAGCGTGGACCCGCCAGCCCCAGCCCGCGGGGACGCAGGGCACTGGGACGCACAGCCAGGTGCACGTCTGCCCGCCCGGTTGCCACGAGACGGCATGGCTGCCCGGGTGCATGCGCCGCCCCGCGGCGCCCGCAGCCCGGCCAAAACAGCTGGTGGGCCCTCGAGCCCACGGCCGCGGCAAGCTCCCAACCCCCCCCACGGGGGTTGGGAACTTGAGCCAAAATGGCTACGGAGCACCCGAGCCTGGCCCGAGCCGCAGCATTTTCATCAGTCGTCTTTGCATGGGCAGCTACTGGGGGCGAATCCGCCGCCGCCGCCGCCGCCGCCCGCCGCCCGCCGCCGCCTCCGCGCCGCCGCCGCCGCGGCCGCTGTCCGCCGCCGCCGCGCCGCCCGCCGCCCGCCGCCGCCACCGCCGCCGCGTCGCCGACGCCCCCGCTGCCGAATCGCCGCAGCAGCTGCCGCCGCAGCCGCTGCCGCCACCGCTGCCGCCGCCGCCATCGCCGCAGCCGTCGCAGCCGCCGCCGCCGCCGCCAAGTGTATTACGTGTTGTTTGTTGACAAGGATGGTGGGGGGAGGCCGCATCGGGTTCGCTGCGCATGCTCCGAATTTGGAGGCAGAGAGTGTTTTTTGTTTGTTACAAGGGATGGTGGGGGGGTGTCCGCATTGTGCACGGTTGGTTCCCAGTCGCCTGGGGGAGGGGGTGTATACAAATAGGGAACAGTGATAAACGCCTCCCCGAAGGGAAAGAAAGGGGGTTGGAAGAGGAGCCGCCCTAAACCACCTACGCCCAGAGGGCTGGTGGGACTCCCAGCAGCGCCCAGGGGCGCCCAGGAAAGCGTGTGCCTGGGCCCTTGAGAGTCGAGAGTCTTGGTTGCGGTGGCAGCAAAGTTGGTGGGTTTGGGAACTCTATTTCGTCCCGAGGGCATGGTGGCGGATTACCTCACTCGAGGCCTCCTATTGGCGTGCTGCGGCGGAAGCTCGGGCATAACTCATTATTACCACGTGTGGTACCTCCCCCTCGTCTGTTTCGACGGGATTGCGCGTTGGAAGCTTCAGCCGGTCGAATTTCCGTGTGCCCCTGCTTCTTCCGTACGCGTTGCGATCATATCCTTTTTGTACGTTTTCATGTTGCTTGACGGATGCATCCGGGCTCAAGTCTGTAAGACCAGCACAGGAGCGATTGGTGGCACTCATTTGAAGTCCGTTGTTCGCCCCAGTGCAGGCGTTCCTCTATTGGAGGGGACGGGGAAGCAGGAAGCAGTGCTGAGCTGAGTCGATTCTGCTTGCTCGCTGCGCCATGACGGGGGAATGGAATCGGGAAGAATCTGTTTGGGTCCAAGGTCCGACCCTTGGAACAGGGCGCCTGCGCGCGAGCCGAATCCTGCAACACGCACGAGGAACGAGCGAGCTAGACGAGCCGAGTCCCGCGACCCCGCAGAAGCCAGAAGCCCTTCTTCCCGAGTGCGCAGCCCTCTGAGAAAGGACGCCAACATGATATGCACGCTTGAAAATGGCATTGCATGTGCGCGCAGGTGTAGACATTGCAGAGGTGATGTCGTTGATCACTTGTCCGCGAGACGTGAGCGTACAGGTCTACGTTGCATGCGTCCAAATTCAGGTTGATTTGGACATGCGTCGAACATGTCGAGCACTGTTAAAAGACCGCAGACGCCTGACCTGCTGCCTCGGCTATGCTACACAAGCGACACGTGGAGTCCTGGTCCCAGGACGATCGCGGTGTTCCGTGGGGCCGCGCTGGCCACCAGCGAGAGGGCTTCCGTGGGAAACGGGAGACGAGGGCGCTCGGGGTCTCGTGGGAAACGCACGACGAGAAGTTTTCAGTTGTTGTCCCCTTACCAGGCTCTGGGACCGTCAAAAGACAGTTCAGGATGGAACTCCACTCCCAGGGAAGGGGTCCGGATCTCCAGGTGTCCACGCTTTGATAATAATAATAAAAAAAAAAAAAAAAAAAAAAAAAAAAAAAAAAAAAAAAAAAAAAAAAAAAAAAAAACGACATCGGAGTTCTTGGGGTCTGTCGCGCATGCACGGAGGCCGTGTGGTTATGTGCGGCGGCGGCCTTGGCGTTTTTCGTCTCTGAGCGCATCTGGTGTTCGCTTTGTTGTCTTGGCCCGCAGCGGTGCACAGCGTGGGTCGAGTTTGGCAGAGTGCAGCCAGCTTGGATAGCGCAGCGACCGGAAGCTGGCGCGCTCGAAGCAATGGTGCTTTTGCCCAGCATGTCGGTGCATCGGTGTTGCAGGCGAGTAGTTCGTTGTGCCTTCTGCTTCACGTTGATGCAGCCATGCTGAGTGTGCGTAGCTGTGACGTGTTGTACTCCCCCCCTTCCTTCGCGGCGAGGCATGTCCACCTTGGGGATGGAGGGCCATGCCAACTTTTTCATCAAGGAAACCACTTTTCCTAGATGCTTGCAGCTGTAGGAGTGGCGTGAGCTAGCGACGTATTGCATGAAGCTCGCACGTGGTCGTGTCTGGCTGAAGTCAGATGTCGGTTCGGCCACGTCCCCTGTATCTTCAGAATCGCTACTTGCCATTTACTCCATACGGGGTTATTCAGTTTCCACGCTCCACGCCTGCGCGCGTTCTCCGAGGCGATAGTTGCCTTGATCCTGCTGGCAACCTTCGGAGAGCTCAGCCAGAGGTTCTACTGTTGGTTGATGACGATTTTCATCATGCACTTCATCAGCGTGGCTGAGCCATCGTGCCGCGATGCCCTGGACATACATATCGATATATATATATATATATAAGACTACAGTGGCGCTTCGCGCCATGCACCTTGGTCCTTGAAGTTTTGTATGCAGGCGGAATGGCAGGAAGGTCAAGCCGACAATTTAGCGATAACTCCTTGTTGCCTGTTCCAGCATCGCCGCTCAAATTATGTTATTCGTTATCCTTTCTCCATGCTTATTTGTCCTCTTTCTCGCCATGCCCTGCGCATTTCCCCCCCTATCCTCCTCAGCTCTTTTTGCAGAGGCTCCTCCTTGGAGAGCTTCTGGGGGCCTCACAATGGAGGCCTCACAAAAGTTTCAGGCTTTCCTAAAGCTTTCTGGAGGCATCCTTGACGTGTTCTGGAGGTTCTGGGGGCTTCCTCGGGCTACCCTGCCTCCAACCGCGGTCTCCCTGAACGACCGTGTCACGATTTGGAATGCTTCGGAGGGTGTCTTGGAGCCGTCTTGGGCTGCCATTGGTCTCTCTTAGGGTCATCTTTGACCCCTGTTGTGCCGTTTTAGGGATCTATTGGACTGCCTGGAAGCCCTTTCGGATGCTTGTGGGGCGGTTTGGGAGCCTCCCAGGCGGCTTCGGACGCCCAGAAGACTGCCGTATTGGAGCGTCGGGAAGCCAAAAAGAGGAGAACCCTAAAATTCACCAAAAACCCACAGAAAATCAATGATTTTTGCCTCTTGGGGCCTTCTTGGGAGTGCTCTTTCAGGCTTTTTGAAGCCTTTGGGGCCGTCCTGGAGGCCTCTTGGGCCATCTTGAGGTCACGTCGGTCACTCTTGGAGCGCTCTAGTGCTGTCTTGGGGGTCTCTGGGACGTCTCCGATGACCCCCCTGATCGCCCTAGGTGTGCTGGGAAGGCTTGGCAAAACGCCCTGCGAGGCCCGGGGGGCAGCTTCGAGGCCCGTCCGGAGAGTCCCAAAACCCCAGGTCCGGGGAGTCCGGTTTTGGGGGGGGGGGGGGTCCACCGCCCGGGCTTATGAAAATATCGGAAGAGGAATACACACACACACACACACCTACATGTACATATGTGCGTATGTGTTTATGTGTCTTTCAGGCGTGATCCGAGGAGAACGGGGCCCCACCGAGTAGGGGACCCAAGAGAGCCTTGCCTAGGGAGCCTTCTTAGGGCCCCCACTTAGAGAGGAGGGGGTCAAGCTACGCGTAGCGAGCGCTATGTACACAACGAGTTGCGAGATAGCGCGCCAGATATGCGTAAGCAAAGGGACTGTCTTGCAACGAACCTCGAGAGATGAACAATACCTTGGACAAGTCATTTGTGCAAATGGTGTGCGAACAGTCACATCTTACTGGCAAAATCTGAACGCAAGCCTTTTCTGAAAAAGGCGCTTGCGAAGCTTCTGGTCACAACCAGGTCCTCGCTCACCCTACCTCCCGTCCCCGCTCGCGGTCGGAACCAGGGAAGCCGTGTCGGAGACGACGCGTCGGTGTCGATTGGCAGCGTCGGCGTCGTCCGTGCTGTACTGCTGCGAGGATGCTGCCTCTGATCTCTGGGTCTCACTTCCGGCTTGCGGCCACGCTCGAAGAAGAAACAAATGCATAAACATAATTGTGGGGCCCCCTGGCGGCGCCTCTGGCGCCGCCCCTGGCGCGCTCCGCGCGCCAGGGAGGAGGTTCAGCGCCGATCCAGGAAATCCGCGCGGACCTTCAAAAGTTTACGTAATCAGTTTTGTTCCCTCTACACACCCGTGATCTCCAACGCTTGCCCGCCTTCCATCAGAGCGTGAATTACCTGCCCCGCTTTCGCGTCCAGGCAAAACCAAGTCATACCACACGCCTCCTCGTCAAGCGGTCTGACCAGTACAGACCGTGGTTTGGCATCGCTTGGTATCTCTTGGAAGCGAGGGTGGTCAAAAGCGAGGTAGATTTGTTTTGCCCCTATTCCAGGCCTTCAGGAGCCAGCTCGGGGAGGGCAGATGAGGCGTATGCTGGAGGGCGGCCCCCGACATAGACAGGTCAGGCTTGGCGGATGGTGGCACGCATGGCTTCTTGCAGCATCTCCGGGATGAGTATGTGCTGAGATGGGATTGCACCAGGGCGTTGCGAATGTCACCTCGGCGCCACGCCAGGCACCGTGTCGAGCCAGGTCATCCACAGGTCGAGCGCAGTGCAGAAAGAGTCGCTGTAGAAGTGGTGCCGATGGACTTCCACGAGCGGACGAGTCCAGGAGACGAACCTACCAACGGCCATAAGCGATGCGTGCTAGTGGTCAAGCAGCGCCATCAGCGAACGAGCCTCCGCCGTAGTGAGCTCTTCTTGGGAGTCCTCGTTGCCATCGAAAAGAGGCGCCCCGCGGAACTGTTGCCGGAGACGTTGAGCAGGTCAAGGCCTTCCCAGGCCGTCTCGGCCAGGTTGTGGTGTCGGTGATGGTTGCGAAGTTGCGGGCCGCATTCGACAACACATTAGCCCTCGCGCTCATCATGCGGCCTGCAGCTCCGCCGACCTCCTCGGCAGCATCCGAAGCTATGGTCAGCGATCCTGCGAGCAAGGGGCTCCAAGCGGCTGGCACGAGCATGGCCAGGACGAGGATGATGCAGTTGAAATTTTCGCTGCAGCCGTAGGCCGCCCTCGTGGCCCTCCAAACACACCTCGGAATAGAACGTTTCGTGGTACATCTTGTCTTCGAAGCCCTCGATCACGCTGGTAATGGTGGTGCTGCCATGGCTGATGGTTTCGCCTTGGCCACGGCAGCTCCCCATGGCGGCTTGGAGAACGGCGTAACAAATGGCGATTCCTGTTCTGGTGGAAGCGGTGTAGGCGCAGCGGGTATGATCCACGAGCTTGTCAAAATAGCTGACGAGAATGGGGACTGCGGTGGTGTACAAGCTCTCGGCAACAACAGGCCTGACGACGTAGCCCACGATCCGTCAGGTAAGTGCCTTCTGCCCTTCGGTACCATGTTGTGCCTGGGCAGCGCACAGTGTCCAGTGTTGGGTTGCCCAGTCGAAGGTTGGTCCCCAGCCAGCTGGCTTGAGCCCCACGGCTATGTGGGACGCCTGTACCATGTCGATGTATACTCGTCGTGCACGCCGGTCGTTGAGAGTTGGTAAGTTTGGATTGCACGATTCCAATCTATTTCAAGCGCCTTCCCACTTCAAGAGTCGATCTGATGTTGCTGCGTTGTGTTATTCTCTGGGAGGGCCTGCACCCAGTCTACTGCATCCGCATTCCTACTTTATGTTCTTAGCTACTTCTTCCGACCAGTGCGTAGTGAGCTATCCACCTTCCACCTGCCCGTCTCCCTGATCTGATCGAAAGACCTGCCCCAAGCATTCGCCTCAGAAGCAAACCCCGCTCGGGCACTGTGAGGGGTCCAACCCATCTGTAGGTTTGAATCGCTCTGGATGCAGGCACGTAAGTAGCTTCCGGGACATCTCCAGAGTGTAGGGGGACATACGGTCCCCACGGGGCGAACAGGCTTTCAGGAACCTCACTCAAGATACCCAAGAAGATTGGACCAGAGGCCTCCAGGATCGAGTTCGACTGGACCGCTTCGCCTTTGTGTTCGCTTTGATGCCGAGGCCCACGACCATCGGGCCCTGTCCTCGCTTGAGCCCCGTCCCTTTGGAGAATCTGGTATCGGACGTCACGATGTCCAACATCTCACTCGGACGCAGGCCAAGCTTTCCCTGCAAAATCAATCCGATAGCCAGTCTGGGCTCCCTGCGTGCACTGAGCGATACGCTGACGAAAGCCTGCGCTGCCCTTGCCATAAAAAGTGTGTGTGTGTGTGTCTGTGTGTGTGTCTGTGTCTGTGACTGTGTCCGTGTCTATGTCTGTGCCTATGCCTGTGATTGTGTGCCTGTGTGCCTGTGTGTCCCTGTGCCTGTGTGCCTGTGTATATGTGTCTCTGTGTGTCGCTGTGTCGCTGTGTCGCTGTGTCTCTGTGTCTCTGTCTCTGTGTCTCTGTGTCTCTGTGTCTCTGTGTCTGTGTCTCTCTGTCTCTGTGTCTCTGTGTTTCTGTGCCTCTGTGTCTCTGTGCCTCTGTGTCTCTGTGTGTGTGTCCCTGTGTGTGTCGCTGTGCCTCTGTGTCTCTGTGTCTCGGTGTCTCTGTGTCCCTGTGTCTCTCTGTGTCTATCTGTCTCTGTGTCCCTCTGTCTCTGTGTCCCTGTGTCTTTGTGTCTCTGTGTGTCTCTCTGTCTCTCTCTGTCTCTCTCTGTCTCTCTCTGTGTCTCTCTGTGTCTCTGTGTGTCTCGGTGTGTCTATGTGTGTCTCTCTGTGTCTCGGTGTCTCTCTCTGTCTCTCTCTGTCTCTCTCTGTCTCTCTCTGTGTGCCTCTGTGTGTCTCTGTGTCGGTCTGTGTGTCTCTGTGTGTCTTTGTGTGTGTGTGTCTGTGTGCCTCTGTGTGTCTCTGTGTGTCTCTGTGTGTCTCAGTGTGTGTGTGTGTGTCTCTGTGTGTGTGTGTCTGTGTGTCTGCGTGTGTGTCTCTGTGTGTGTCTCTATGTGTGTCTCTGTGTGTGTCTCTGTGTGTGTGTCTGTGTGTGTGTCTCCGTTTGTGTCTCCGTGTGTGTCTCTGTGTGTGTCTCTGTGCGTGTCGTTGTATGTGTCTCTGTGTGTGTCTCCGTGTGTGTCTTTGTGTGTGTGTTTCTGTGTGTGTCTCTGTGTGTGTCTCTGTGTGTGTGTGTGTCTGTGAAAGGTCTCCGTGTGTCTCTTTGTGTGTGTGTTTCTGTGTGTGTCTCTGTGTGTGTCTCTGTGTGTGTGTCTCTGTGAAAGGTCTCCGTGTGTCTCTCCGTGTGTCTTTCCGCGTGTCTCTGTGTGTCTCTGTGTGTCTCTGTGTGTCTCTGTGTGTCTCTGTGTGTCTCTGTGTGTGTCTCTGTGTGTGTCTCTGTGTGTCTCTGTGTGTCTCTGTGTGTCTCTGTGTGTCTCTGTGTGTGTGTGTGTCTGTGAGTCTCTGTGTGTGTGTGTCTCTGTGTGTGTGTCTGTGTGTGCGTGTGCGTGTGTGCGTGTGTGCGTGCGTGCGTGTGTGCGGTCGTGCGTGCGTGCGTGCGTGCGTGCGTGCGTGCGTGCGTGCGTGCGTGCGTGCGTGCGTGCGTGCGTGCGTGCGTGCGTGTGTGTGTGTGTGTGAGAGAGAGTGCGTGTGTGTGTGAATGTGAGTGTGAGTGTGAGTGTGAGTGTGAGCGTGAGTGTGTGTATTTGTATGTGTGTGCCTGGTCTAGTGCTCCAGCCCGCAGCCACACAAGGCCGCGCGGCATCCCTCTTCCTCCTCCTCCTCCTCCTCTCCCTCCCATCCTCCTCCTCCGTAGCCATTTTGGCTCAAGGCTCATGCTTTTGCGGGCTGAGCCCGTATTGGCATTCACGGATACCGCTAGTCCGCGGCAGTGCCAGAGCGCTTGCGCTCGACAGTTCTTCGCCTACACCGAGGGGTTGGGCTCCCTCATCAGTGTTGTCGCCACGACTAGGCTGTGCGCTGGTCGGTGGCTAGTCGCTCTCCTGTGTGGCTGTGCGCAATGGGACCCAAGCAACGCGTCGAGAACGCGCAGCCTTGGATGTGCAAGTGGTGCGTGCACAAGCCCACGGGGACAGCTTGGATCAATCGGTCTGATCACAAGTGGTGCGCGCAATGCAACTTGCCCAAGGGATCGGCGTTCGGAGGAGTGCCGCCGCCCAAGGTCCCCGTGGCGCGCAGCCCAGCGATGCAGTCTCAGCGTGAAGTTGCCCTGGCACGGCAGCTCGCCGACCTTCAACGCCAGATGCAGCAGATGCAGCAACCGTCGACTGGCAATGACGCCGCGTCTGCTTCCACTCCGCCCTGGGCTACTGACGCCAGTCCTCAGGCTGCACGGCGCACTCGTCTGGCAGAGATTGGTAACATTCTCAAGTCGCTGGGGACCGCTGATGCTGAGTACCGTGACAAGCTCCTGGCGGAGCGCACTTCCCTGCAGGAGCAGCTGCAGTCCGAGAAGCCTCTCGAGAGCAACGTCAGTGCTCAGAATCGGAAGGTCACGGAGGCTCGGAAAAAGAAGGCCAACTGTGCGGCCAAGGTCCAGGCGGCCATGGAGGCGGTCGAGAAGGCCAAGGAAGCTTTGGCCAAGGCCGAGGCCGCTGACACCGAGGCTGCCACCAACTTGCTCTCCTTGGAGAACGAGCTGCGGGAAATCGTGGCGCGCGGGCTTCCTGTCGGTGGCGAGGCGAAGCCGCCAACGCTCAGCACGGTCATCCCTGGTCTCAAGTCCACCGTGTCTCAGCTGGGTGAGGTGCTGCAATCTCTCGGTGGCTCTGAGCGGTTTGCTGCTGGCATGCAGGCCATGGCGGAGATGGTCGCCAAGCTGGAGCAAGAACCAACAGAGGCGAACCAACCGCCACCTCCTGCGGCTGAGCCTGCCGAGCAGACCGCCGAGGAAGCTGAGGAGATGGCCGTCGATCAAGAGGAAGAGGCTCACAAGCATATTGACGAGATGGACGCGCCCACTTGCCGTGAGCATCTTCGCAGCTGTGGTCTCGAGGTACCTGCGCCTGGCGACGTGGATGATGATGACGACGCTCCTGTCCTACGTGATCGGCTCAAGCGGCATTTGGCCAGCGCGCAGAGCCTCGCCAAGAAGCTCAAGGCCACTTCGAAGTGAGCACTTGGGTTCCCATCGAATTACCGTGTCTATCCTACTTTGTTTGGCAATGATGACAGCTCACTGTGCCAACTTGGACGACTCTGACGTCGACCCGTTTCATGACATCGATGACCCTGGCCCCTCTCTTTCCGAACAGTATGACGTTGCGGTTGTGGCTGGTGATGTACCTACGAGTGCGACGCCCGTGGTGCCTGCTACGTCAGGCGCTCCATCCGCTTCGGCTTCCTTGTCGAGTTCGACTGGCTGCGGGCCCCCTGCGAAGGCTGCCCCCCGCCAAGTGCGTGAACCCTCGGTAGGCTGGTGTTCTGCTTCGGCAGTGGGCCAGGACCGCCGTGCGAGTTCTCTGGGCCTGGGATCGGCTGGAGGGGTGCCTGCGAGTACCTCTTCGACCTCGGCCACGCGCGGACCCACGAGTACCGCGTCCTCGTCCAAACCTTTTGCTGCATCTATATCGAAATCCAGGCGGCACTTGCCGCGAATCGTCTCGCTCAATGGAAGCTCTTTCGGGCCCATCGTCGACTACGCGGTGCAGGCTGATTGCTCGGTCCTGGCGGTCCAGGAGACGCATGTGGACCAAGAGCACTTGGCCGACAAGCAGCACGCCATGCTCGACGCGGGCTGGAAGGGCCTGTGGGCACCTGCCATCAGCAGTGACAGCGGCGCTGGTACTTCAGGTGGCGTGGCAGTTTTGGTTCCGTCGTACATCACGGCCATGGCTCCGCCGCAGCTTGACAGCCATATCTTGATTCCAGGACGCGCAGTGGCTTGCCACGTTCGATGGGGGCTGCCGGGTGGACTTGTGGTCATCTCGGCGTACCTCAAGGACGGCGAGGGTTCCGGTGCGGCCAATTGCTCGTACGTTTGGGCCCTCGTGCAGTACGTGTGTGTGCTGAACGCGCTCCAGGTGCCCTGGGTCATCTGCGCAGACTGGAACATGGAGATCGACGAGCTCAACCAGTCGGGCTGGCTGGAGGCTGTGAGTGCCCTCGCGTATGTTTCTGCCCTGCCCAGCTGCAGGCACTCACAGCCTGGCTCTTTTATTGATTTCTTCGTAGCTAGCAGCATGCTAGCGACTCGCTTACACAAGCAGGTTCATGTTGATGAGGAGGCCTCTACTTATCCTCACCTTCCCGTCTCCATAGGCTTCGCCTCGTCTGATACCCCGATGTGGGCCAGGGTCCCCGACGAGCCCAAGCCTTTCCCTGCGGTGCCCCCCATAGGGTGCGCGAGGCCCCCCGTGTACCCTTGGAAGGCCGTGCTCGAAGTTGCGGGCCCCAAGCTTTTGGCCCAATGGGACCTCGCGGGGCTCTGGGACCTGGTCATCTCGGGGATCGAGTTCGAGCTGTCCTCTAGGTGGGACCGCATCGGTGCTTGTTCGTCTGGCTTCTTGGGGAGAGCGGGCCCGCCCAGGACAAAGTGGAAGAAGCTTGCGTGGGCCCCCCCCCCCCAAGACTCGCACCTACAAAGACCCCAACACCAAGGCTTGGGCCACGGCGTTGGGCTGGGCGAAGCACCTCGGCAAATGTAGGCAGTTTCTCATCAAGGAGGTTGCAGGCCTCCAGGAGTGTGCAGCCATGTGCGAGCTTACTCCCAACCAGCATGTTAAGCTACTGCGTGCGCTGGCCGATGCTTCCAATTTCATGATCAAAGTCGGAGCGTGCAAAAAGGTGCTTGCTAGGCTCGACGATCGCACGTCTGGGTTCTTTCGGTCAGGGTTTGCCGTCCTGGCCAGAGCTGATTTTGCCGAATGTTTTACGCATGTGTATCTCACCGCCAAGGCCAAGATCGGGGCTGCCGAAGCCGCCGCGAGCTCAGCTTGGCTGGCCTGGGCCCGAGAAGCCTTTCAGAGAGGAGCGTCTCAGGCCCATAGGTTCAGCAAGGTGCGAGCAGTCCAGGAGGTCGTTGCTGCTGGTTCCATGTCCCAACCCTTCCAGCTAGCTGATCGAGAGATGCAGCCATGGGCTGACATCTGGATGACCCACGAATGTTCTAAGCTTCCGCTCCCCGATGGGGCCCACGCCTGGCCCTCGCTCCCTTGCATCACTGCCTTAGAGGTTGAGGATTGCATCCAGCAATTTAAGATCAACACAGCGGCAGGCCCTTCGCGGATTGCGCCCAGGGCTCTGCTCCACCTCAGCCAGGGAGCCTACAAAGGCATAGCGTTTTTGTTCAACGGATGCGAGGCCCAGCTAGCTTGGCCCAACGATCGAGTTTGGACGGAGATGGTGCGTTTGGCCAAGCCTGACGGGGGTGTCCGCTTGATAGCCCTTATTAACACTCTCTGCCGAGTCTGGGGCAAGCTCAGGAAGCCTGTTACTTGTAGCTGGCAAGAGTTGCATGGTTGTCTCGAGATCTGGGGCACCAGGAAGCGGCATAGCTCCACGGACAGCGCTTTCGCGCACAACCTGTCCGCAGAGCTAGCGTCCCTGCTCGGCGAAATCTCAATTTCAGTTTTGCTGGATATGATCAAGTGCTTCGAAATGATTCACCCTGCCCAACTCATCAAGGAGGCAGAGGCTGTCAGCTTTCCGCCACGCCTCGTGTGGATGCTCGTGGAATTGTACAGGCAGCCACGGCGTCTGAAGGCATTCGGAAGCCTTTCCGAGTCCCTCGAGGTTTTCCAAGGCATCCTAGCTGGATGCAGCCATGCCACAGGTATGCTTTTCGTGCTGACTTTTCGGGCGCTCAAGCGCCTCAACCAGATTGCCCCGTGTGTGACGCCGCGTGCGTTAGTAGATGACGCGTCGCTGCAGCTGGTCGCCACGACGCCTGACACCTTGCCGCAGCTAGAGAAGGCTGTACGGATCTTCAGGTACGACGCCCAGGTATTAGGGCTGAACACCCAGCCCAAGAAGTCTGGTATCGTGGCGGCCTCGGGAAGGTCCAAGAGGTTGTTTCGGCACGGAGCGGCGCAGCTCAAACTACAGTTTCGGCCATGGATGCGTAACCTCGGGCATGAGTTAGCTGGTGGCAAAGTGTTGAGGCTCCAGGAGAAGGCACGCCTCAAGTCTCTCAAGCAGCGCCGTCGCAAGTACATGGCGCTGCGCAGCGCCGTCGGGCGCAAGGCTTCGCTCTTGTTCAGAACGGGAGCGCTACCAGCTGCTGGGCATGGTGGCGGTGTCTCTGGAGTTTCTGACGTTTCTCTTCGATATTTCAGACAGTTGGCCTCGACCCTCGCCGGGGGTAAAAAACATGGTGGGGTCACAGCGTATCTCCTCGCTCACCGCGACCCCTACTACGATCCCATATTCGACTGCACGCTCACCATATGCCTCCGCTACGCGGCCTGGATCTGGGACAGCAGAGTTTGTCTTGGGAGGGCCCAGAGGGCCTGGGCCCAACTACGGATTTACTTTGACGACAACCCGACGTGGCAGATAGCGAAGGGGCCCATGTCGGCCTGCTGGCTTTCCCTTCATCGTATCGGTTGGGCCATGACCAGCGCCCACACGTTCCTCTCGGACAATAATATCACGATAAACTTAGTCACGACTTGCCCGTACGACGTCAAGCTATACATGATAGAAGGTATTCAGAGGTGGCAACATCGTCGGCTGCTTCATCACATGCCTACGTCCCAGGGTACCGAGCAGGTCTGGCACAGAGCGTTGAGAGGAGGTCTTCAAGCGATTCGGTGTCCACGGCAACTTGGAGCTCTCTCGGCGGTCATGGCTGATGTTATTCCTCTTCCAGGTGTGCGTGCTTCCCAGGGTTACCGCATAAGCCCTGAATGTCGTGTGTGTCAGGCTCCCCTGGGCTCCTACGGGCACATCTGGCACGACTGTGCGGGCTTGGTCTTGGACGGAGTTGACGGGCTTGGCGAGCAGGTCCCTGATGATATTCTGAGCCATAGGAATGCTCTAATTAATTCATGTCTAGACATCTTGGGGAACCCGCAGGCCGAAACCACTTATCTCACCTATGGGATCCCCTCGCTCTCTGTGGCTTTGGAGCCCCCCGAGGCCCACCCTCAGGTCCAGTTCTGGGGGAATGTTTCAGGCCCGTGGGGGCCCACCTGTTTCGTCGACGGAAGCTGCCTCCAGTCAAGTCTCCCTGAAGTTGCTCGGGCTGGCTGGGCAGCAGTCCAATTAAATCAAGATTTAATTCCAGTTCGTGCCGTCTTCGGCGCATTGCCTGGCGTGCGCCAGACCATCGGACGTGCGGAGCGGTGGTCGATACGTCAGGCTCTGCACTTTGCGCCCGAGGTGGAAAAAATTGTGTCCGACCTGCAGGCCAGCGTTCGCGAAGGCAACGCGTGGGACCCAGAGCAGGCTGCTGGTCTAGCCAAACATGCGTCGATTTGGGCGGACATTTTTAGGAACCAGCAGCACGACCCCCCCCAATTTGTTTGGTGCCCCGCCCACCTTTCGCTCGATGAGGCTGTGGAAAAAGGCGTCTCTCTCGAGCACTGGGCGGGAAACCTATGGGCTGATTTTTTCGCGAAGCTCGGCTCGGCGTCCCACAGTTACGCGGATGGATTCTGTAAGGCCTTGGCGGGGGAATATAGATATCATAAGTCCACTCTTAGGTTTTTGGCATGGGCAGCGCAAAGGCTGTTGCAGTCTCAAGCGTGGTCTGGTGATCCTGATGTGCCTCTGGTTTCCTCGAGCCTCCCTCTTCCCCCTAAGTTGTCGATCACCAGTCACGAGATCTGGCACAGCCAGAAGGTCGCCATCTGGAGGTGCCGTGTATGTGGCAGATTTGCTCGCAGCCAGACTTCTCTCAATGCCATGCTCACACAGAGGGCCACTCGTGATTGCATAGCCAGCCCCGTGCAGCTCCTGGCTGCGTCTGAATGGTGGAAGGCTCATGCGACCGACCAGGGGTTTGCCCTGATGCGTTCCGAGGCCGTGCAGCTGGCAATGGTAGCTTCCCAGTGGGAGGCTGAGCTGCGCAGCCAGACCGAGGGACCCGACGACATGGGGGCGAAGGGCCCGCCGACTCCTGTGCTCCCCTCGGGGCCCAGTGGGCCCGACAGGTACCCTCAATTTTCGGCCCTCGGTCACGACGTGTTTAAAAATGGTGATTATTTTTGCTGCCGCAAATGCGGTGGGAACGGCACTCTTGGCAATTTTGTGAAGTTAGCAGCTAGATGTGTTGGTTTCTCCGCTGTGGCCTCCACGAAGGCGAACCAGCGCATGGCCATTCGGAGGATCGAGGCAGGCCTGCATCCGAAGACTGGCGCGAAGCTCTCCGCCCCCTCGGCTTGTCGACCGTGCAGGCGAGGAGATAGCCGCGCTGGCCCCACGGACGCGGGCAGGCCCGCCTCTTGTGTGCAGGAAGGACGCGACGATAATCGTGCTCCCTCTCCTGCCGCCTCCTGCCCCGTCGAGGGCCCTTCCTCCTCTCGCTTGTCCTTGGGTCCTGGGGCCGAGGGCGCGAGGGGCGAAGGTGCTCGTGTTGCGACCCTGGACGAGGTCCAGAGGCGGTCCCAGGTTCAGACCGCCCACCGGCCACTCGATGTGGACCGTGACTCTAGGCCCGAGACTGGAGATGAATCCAGCTCGGGCTCTGACTAATCTCGTTTAGTTTTTTGGGCCCTCCCCCCCCGCCGCCGCCGCCGCCGCCATCGCCGCACTTCGTCTCCTTTTTCAACACGACTGTGCTCAGCGAGGCGGGCGCGCGCGCCGCCGCGAGGGTGGGGTCGGGCCTCTCTTTGCTTCGCTCGAGCCGCGCTTCGCGCGGACCGTCGAGCTCCTGGGACATCGGACCCCCCTGCTCGGCACTCGTGCCTTGCAGGGGGCACAGCGGTCTGCGCCCTCCCATCCTCCTCCTCCTCCTCCTCCTCCTCCTCCTCCTCTCCCTCCTCCTCCTCCTCCTCCTCCTCCTCCTCCTCCTCCTCCTCCTCCTCCTCCTCCCCCTCCTCTTCTG